TATGAAGAGCACTAATGTTGTCCGAAAACAATTGAGGAGGTGAGTGCAAAGATATGCCAACATCACGAAGAAGGAAAGTGATCCACATAAGTTCAGCGGTGGTGGAAGCTAGTGCTCTATATTCTGCCTTTGCAGTAGATCAAGCCATTGTCGGTTGTTTCTTTGAACCCCATGAGACACAATTGGCACCCAAGAACATGCAAAACCTTGTGGTACTGCGATGTGTGAGAGGACAACCAGCCCAATCAGCATCACAAAAACCAGTCAAGGACAATGGGCTATGCTCTGGGTAGCGTATAACATATTGACTAGTGCCCTTGACATATCGTAGAATTCTTTTTACCAGGCAAAGGTGAGAAACAGTGGGAGCTTGCATAAATTGACAAACTCGATTGACGGCATGACAAATGTCAATTCTGGTAACAGTTAAATATTGAAGGGCTCCTACTATGCTCCGATAAGATGTAGCATCAACAAGTTCAGTATCTCTTAAAGTAATAGTGTCTTTAATAGCCAATGGTGTAGAGATTGGAGCTGCCTCCATCATTGATGCTTGATTTAGTAAATCATGTGCATACTTGTTTTGAGAAAGGATAATCCCTCCAGAAAATTTTGTTACCTCTATACCAAGGAAGTAATGAAGAGGCCTTAGATCCTTGAGTGCAAATTCCTCACTGAGATTTGAAATAATTTGCTGGAGTAGTTCATCTGTGCTAGCCGTGAGAACAGTATCATCAACATATAAGAGAAGAATAGTAGTGGCTTGTGAATTTTGAAGGACAAAAAGAGAGGAATCAGCTTGGCTGCAATAAAACCCCATTCTTAGAAGGTGTAGAGTGAACCTGTCAAACCAAGCACGGGGAGCCTGTTTAAGCTCGTAGATTGAGCGATGTAAGCAGCATACACACTCAAGATATTGAGGATCAACAAAACCAGGGGGTTGCGTCATATACACAGTTTCTTTGAGCATGCCATGGAGGAAGGCATTCTTTACATCAAGTTGACGCAAAGGCCATGATTGAGTTGTAGCAAGTGCAATCACAAGATGAAGTATTGTGGGCTTAAGTACCGGATTGAAAGTCTCATCAAAATCCAGACCAGGAACTTGCGAGAACCCTTTTGTCGCTAAACGTGCTTTGAACCTCTCAATGGAACCATCTTGCTTTAGCTTGGTTTTGAAAACCCACTTTGATCCAACTATATTAGCTCTAGGGGGACACAGAACCAGCTCCCAAGTATTGTTTTTCTTCAAGGCATCTAATTCTTCTTGCATTGCAGCAAA